GAAACAGTCGCAGAACCGCACGAATCGAGCAGCCTTGACCGAGGCGTCGATGTCCAGCACGCCAGCGAGATAGGCCGGCTGGTTGCCCACGATACCCACGGGCTTGCCATTCATTCGGGCAAAGCCGACGACAATGTTGGGCGCGAAGTTCTGGTGTACCTCCATGAACTCCTCGTGGTCCACCACCTTGTACACCACGTCCCGGATATCGTAGGGTCGGCTGGGGTCCTCGGGGACCATGTAGCGGAGGTCCGGCTCGCGGCGGTCGGCAGGGTCGTCGGCCGGATCCTGGGGCGGGTCGTCGACGTTGTTGCCGGGCAGGTAACCGAGAAGGTGGCGCACCTCGTTCAGGCATTCCTCCTCCGTCTCGCAAACGAAGTGGGCCACACCGCTGCGGGTAGCGTGGGTGGCCGCACCGCCAAGCTCCTCGTGCCCGACCTCCTCGCCGGTCACCGCCCGAATTACGTCGGGGCCGGTTATGTACATCTGGCCGATTTCCTTCACCATGAAAATGAAATCGGTTATGGCCGGTGAATAGACCGCGCCGCCCGCAGCCGGGCCGACGATGACGGTGATCTGGGGGACGACGCCGGAGTAGAGGGTGTTTCGGAGGAAGATGTCGCCGTAGGCCGCCAGGCTGAGTGCACCCTCCTGGATGCGGGCGCCGCCGGAGTCGTTGAGCCCGATGACCGGGCAGCCTGCCTTGGCGGCCAAGTCCATGACCTTGCAGATCTTCTGGCTGACCGCTTCGGAGAGGGAGCCTCCCATGACGGTGAAATCCTGGGCAAAGGCAAAGATCTGGCGGCCCTCGACCTTTCCGTACCCGGTGACCACGGCATCACCCAGGGGGCGTCGATCGCCCAGGCCAAAATCGGTGGTCCGGTGGGTTACGAAGGGGTCCAGTTCCTGAAAGGTGCCCTCGTCCATAAGACGTCCGAGACGCTCGAGAGCAGTGAGTTTTCCGCGGCTGTGCTGCTGGTCGATGCGGTTCTGCCCGCCTCCCAGCTGCGAGGAGCGACGCATCGACTCCAGGGTTTCCAACTGCTGGTCAATCGGCCTCTGCTCAGCGGTCACTTGTACTCTCCGACCCAAGCGAACGGGCGCCTGCAAGGTTGAACCGCCCGATTCATTGATTCCCAGAATTCCGCAGTGCGCATTCTATCGCGCATCTCTCGGCGCACGCTATGTTGGGTGATAGAATTTTAGTCACAAACAACCGCTCGAACCGAACGGAGACAGTCTCGATATGTCCGCTACCCTGGCCACACTGGAAGACCTGACGGTTGCCAACGGCGAGCGGTTGTCGTGGGGCAGGCGCACCTTTGTGATGGGGGTGATTAATGTCACGCCCGACTCATTCTCAGGCGACGGCCTGAGAGGCAATGTGCAAGCCGCCGTGGAACAGGCCCTGCGATTCGAAGGAGAAGGCGCAGACTTCCTCGACATGGGCGCCGAATCCACGCGACCGGGCCATACACCGGTGACGGAGCCGGAGGAGATATGCCGCCTACTGCCGTCGCTGGAAGCAGTGGCCGCAAGGGTCTCGATTCCCATCAGCGTTGACACCTGGAAATCAGGGGTTGCACGGGCCGCGCTGGACTCCGGGGCTTCCTTGGTCAACGACATCTGGGGACTGCGGGCCGACCCGGACATCGCGGCGGTCGCCGCGGAAGCCGGGGCCGGACTGGTCCTGATGCACAACCAGCACGGCTACCAGTATGACAATCTGCTGGAAGATGTGGTTGCCCGGCTGAGTGATAGCGTCGAAGTGGCACTGAGTGCGGGGATGCCTCGCGACAATCTTGTCACCGACCCAGGCATCGGGTTCGGTAAAACCGCCGACCACAACCTGGAACTGCTGCGGAATCTCCACCGCCTCAAGGCGTTGGGCCTGCCGCTGCTGGTGGGTACCTCGCGCAAGTCCACCATCGGCCCGTCTCCTCGACCTGCCCCCGGACCAGCGGGTGGAAGGCACGGCGGCCACCGTGGCCCTGGCCATCGCGGCCGGGGCGGACATTGTCCGCGTTCACGACGTTCGCGAGATGGTGCGAGTCTGCCGGGTCAGCGACGCCATCGTGCGGGACTGGAGACCGGATGGCTGGCTGGTCGGTCAGTGAGGGAAACCGTCGTCCACCTCGGGCTGGGTACTAATATTGGTGATCGCGAAGAGAACCTCAGGGCGGCACTGCGCTTGCTCTCAGTGGATGCAGGCGTCCGGCTTCAGCGGTGGTCGCGGGTATACGAGACGGAGCCGTGGGGACTGGCGGACCAGCCGAAGTTTCTCAATCTCGCAGTGACGGCAGCGACCACGCTAACGCCTGAAGCCCTGCTGGAGCTGTGCAAAGAAGTCGAAAACAGGCTGGGCCGGGTGCCGGGGCCACGGTGGGGCCCGCGCCTCATCGATGTGGACATCCTCCTGTACGGCAGCGAGGTGGTTGAGTTCCCGCAGCTGCAGATTCCCCATCCCCGTCTGCACCTGCGGGCCTTTGCGTTGATTCCCCTCGAGGAAATAGCTCCAGACGCAAGCCATCCGTCTTTGCAGCAGAGTATCTCCCAACTTGCCGGGGAAGCAGAAGACAGGGAGGGAGTCATTCCCCGCGGGCGACTGGAGTTGTCACTCGGCAGTGCTGACTGCTAACTCGCGGTTGACAACCAATTCCGGTTGGCGCATATTTTAGTATGATTTTGAGCGTCTTCAACGGGTGGTGATTAGGGGTCGCCGCCGGAGCGTCGAAGCCTGAGCTCAATAAGAAAACCGTAATTAGCTAAGGAGCCAACGATGGCGGACAAACAGCTATCATTTGAAGAAGAAGCCAGAGTCAGCCTGCTGCGCGGCGTTGAACAGTTGCGGCGCGTGGTGGGACTCACCCTGGGTCCCAGCGGCAGAAACGTCATGCTGAGCCCGGATGTTCGGCAACCCCGTGGTGTGCAGCGATGGTGTGACGATCGCCAAGGAAGTGGAACTTGCCAATCCCTATGAGAACCTGGGCGCGCAGCTGGTCAAGGAGGCCGCGGCCAAGACCAACGACGCGGTTGGCGACGGAACGACGACCTCGGTTGTGTTGGCCGACGCCATGGTCCACGAGGGATTCAAGAACGTGGCAGCCGGCGCCAACGGCATGAGCCTGCGCATCGGCATAGAGGCCGCCATCGACGCTGTGGTCGCCGAGTTGCGAGAAATGGCCATCCCGGTGGAGGGCCGCGAACAGATAGCCCGCGTGGCGGCCCTGTCGGCACACGAGGAAGCCATCGCCGAGCAACTGGCCAACGCGCTGGAGAAAGTGGGGCGCGACGGAGTCGTAACCATCGAGGAGTCGAAGTCGCTCTTCGACGAACTGGACTTCGTGGAAGGGGTACGCATCGACCGCGGCTACCTGTCGCCGCACTTCGTCACCGACACCCAGCGCATGGAAGTAGCCATAGACAGACCGTACTTCCTGCTCACCGACCAGAAGGTCAGCTCTCCCAACGACATCATCGGCATACTGGAAAAGATGGTGGGGGCCGGGCAGCGGACACTGGTACTGATCGCGGAGGACGTGGATGGCGAGGCCCTCTCGACCTTGGTAGTCAACAAGACCCGGGGAATCCTGGACTGCGTCGCCATCAAGGCCCCTGGCTTCGGTGAGCGCCGGAAGGCCCTGCTGGAAGACATTGCGATCGTGACCGGCGGGACGGTGATCAGCGCCGACCGCGGCCTGAGGCTGGACGCTGCCGAGGTCGAACACCTAGGAACGGCCAGGCGGCTGGTGGCAAACAAGGACGAGTCGACGATCATCGAGGGGCACGGCTCGGAGCAGGGCGTCAAGGACCGGCTGGACCAGCTACGGGTGCAGATCGAAGAGACCACCTCGGACTACGACCGGGAAAAGCTGCAGGAGCGGATGGCAGCCCTGGTAGGCGGCGTGGCTGTCGTGAAGGTGGGGGGCGCCACGGAGCCGGAGGTCAGCGAGCGCAAGTCCCGAACCGAGGACGCGCTTTCGGCCACCCGTGCGGCCATCGAGGAAGGCATTGTGCCCGGAGGCGGCGTTGCCCTGATTCGCGCCGGCCACGTGCTGCAAGAGGTCATCGCATCGCTGGAGGGCGACGAGGCGCTGGGAGCGCGACTGGTGCGTGAGGCGCTGCACGCCCCCTTGACGCTGATCGCCGCGAACGCGGGCTACGAAGCGCCGGTGGTGGTGGATAGTGTCCGGTCCGGGGAAGGAGACTGGGGTTTCAACGCCGAGATCGGGGAGTATACCCATCTGATCCAGGCGGGAATCATCGATCCGGTCAAAGTTACCCGCTCGGCGCTGGAAAACGCCGGCAGCATCGCGGGCATGATGCTGACCACCGAGGCCATCATCACCGAGATACCCGAGGAGAAGCCACTGCCCGCCGACATGCAGGACTTCATGCACGACTAGGGCAGGCTCAAGGTCAGAACGCAATCGGAGATGGGGCGCACGATTGTGCGCCCCAATGTTTTGCGATGTTTTGCAATGCCGGGTAACCCACTGAACCGGGAAGAGATTCTCGCCCTGACCGCGGCAGCCATTCCGTTGGTCGAAGGACATATAGACCTGGGCTCCCACGTTCAGCCCAACGGACTTGACCTGACACTGAAGGAGGTGGCCCGTTTCCTTTCACCGGGGCAGCTCGGCGCTTCGGATGCTGACCGGGTGCTGTCCGACATTGAGCCGCTGGCCTTCGATGCATCGGGGTGGCTGGAGCTATCCGCAGGAGCCTACCTGATAACATACAACGAGGTCGTCAACCTGCCCACGGACCTGATGGCGCTTGGGCGTCCCCGCTCCAGCCTGCTTCGCAGCGGGGTGTCGGTACACACGGCGGTGTGGATGCGGGATACCGGGGGCGGTCCCAGTCGCTGCTGACAGTGCATCATCCCGACGGATTCAGGGTGCAACGTGACTCGCGGGTGGCCCAGTTGGTATTCTTCCGGATGGCTGCTCCCCCCGCGGAAGGTTACGGCGGGCGTTACCAGGGCGAAGGGGTGTAGACTTTCAGCCAATCCTCCTGTATTTGATGCTAGGCTGAGAGGGGCAGAGGATTTCTTCCATACCTCACATTGACCTCGCATTGCCGACGAACTCCGGCCTCGTTGTACGGCAGCCAGTTGTGCGGCAACCAACAGATCATGAGTGACCTGAAAGATACCGTCATCGCCCTGGCCCGTGGGTGCGGGTTCGATCTCGTGGGCGTGACTTCGGCGGACGATTTTGCTGCCGACCGGGCCGCTGCACTGGAGCGCATTCGCGAGGGTCGGATGGATGGGTTGCCGTGGTACACGGAATCCCGTGTGATGCGTGGGACAAGCCCTTCCGCGCTGCTGCCAGGGGCGCGCTCGGTTGTATGCCTTGGGTTGAGCTATTTCGTTGACTCGGAATCGCCGCGGCAGCCCGAGAGCGGCGAAGGCATGAAGTCCCCGGGGCGAGTGGCGCGGTACGCGTGGGTCAGGGACTATCACCGGGTGATGAAGCGGCGGATGCGGGAGCTTGTGCGGGAGCTGGAACGGGAACTTGGCGCAACGATTTCAGCGCGCTGGTATGTGGACGACGGGCCGATGCTGGACCGGGCTACCGCCAACCGGTCCGGAATTGGCTGGTTCGGCAAGAACACCAACATCCTGACCTCGGGCTTCGGGTCATGGGTCTTCCTTGGTCAAGTGATTACCGACCTGGAACTGGAGGCCGATGCGCCGCTGCAAAAGTCCTGCGGTTCATGCGTGCGCTGCATCGACGACTGCCCGACGGGGGCCATCGTTGCTCCTTATGTTATCGACAACTCGCTCTGCATCTCATACCTCACCATCGAGAACCGCGGGCCGATCCCCCGAGAGCTCCGCCCGCTGATGCAGGACTGGGTGTTCGGTTGCGACATCTGCCAGGACGTATGCCCGGTAAACCGGAAGGCAAGGGCGTCGGCGCAGCCCATCCCTCCTCCCGGCGGTACCGCGGCCACGGGCCGCTCGTCGGACCCGGATTCTGAAGGCGGGCTGGCATTCCTGGACCTGGTCGAGTTGCTGGGGATGTCGGAGGAGGAATTTCGCGCTCGATTCGCGGGCACTTCGATAATGCGGGGCCAAGCGGGTCGGGATGCAGAGGAACGCGTGTGTTGCCCTCGGCAACCTGGGAGACGAGAGGAGCGAGCCGGCGCTTTCGAGCGCACTGCGTGAGGCGGAGCCGCTGGTGCGCGGGCACGCGGCGTGGGCGCTGGGTCGCATTGCGGGGCCGCAGGCTGCCACCGCCCTGGCGGAGGCCGGAGCGACTGAGAAGGATCCAGTCGTGGCGGAGGAGATTGCTTCGGCGCTACGGGAGCTAGCCGGGGGCTGAGGCCCCCTGGGCCGACCCGGCATTGCGGGGCGGCGATTGGCCCTGCCGGCCGCCGGGGCGGCGACGGCGCTGCTGGGTGCGGGTAGGCACGACCGGAGTGGGCTGGTAGTCCTTGCCGAAATGGAGCTTCTTCATTTCCTCTTCGATGAGCATGAAAGTCGCTCTTGGGAAGAAGGTGAAGGTTACCCTGAAAGGCCATGTACCAGTCTTCGGGCGCCCAGCGTTTGACGTATTCCAGCCTGGGCGCGATGAGATTGGCGTCCATGAACTGGTGGTCCTGCAGCACGATGTCGGGACGGATGTTGACCCGGAAAGGGAACCCGGCCCTGCCTTCCCTTTCCCAGGTGGAGTCGTCAACCTCGGAGTAGTCGGACGTGGCCGTAGCCGTAGCGACGAACCGCCGGATATGGGTCAGGTACATCAGGATCCGGTCGCCGTCGGAGATACGCTGGACCTTGCGGCGGTGCTGCGCCTTCAGTCCCATGACGGAGAACCCCATGTCCTGGGTTATTCTGAAGTTGCGCTCGTTGTTTACGATCATCCAGAAGTTGCTGGGCATAGCTTCCCCTGGGGAATTTGGTATGCGAATCACAGGTCTGCGGAACGAGGGTATGTACCATTCTATCACGATTCCAATTTCGACCGACTGAATGCGCGACCATCCAAGCTGGGCTATCGCATTTGGCTGACAGAGCGCCGTCATTCCCACGAAAGCGGGGATCCAGGGTTTTCGTGTTGTTGGCTGTCTCCAGTGGGCTAAGCTGACGGCTCTCCGATGGGCGCAGAGCACTGGAATTTCCGGCCACTGGACTCCCGCTCCCCGATCGAGACGAGGACATGTTTCGCGGGAATGACGGTGTGAACGGCTGCGAATAATTAAAGCGCGATTGCCCTGTGCCTTTCTTGTGGTCTCCGCGAGAATTGTGCTAACCTATTGAATCATTGCCGTAACAAGCTAGGCTCTGGGATTCGTATGAATTCGACCCGGGGGCCCGATGCGAATAGAGAGATAACACGATGCGCTGCCAGCTTTGTCTAAAGTCTGGAATGAGTGGCAACAACGTGAGCCACTCCAACCGGCACACCAAGACCCGCTTCAAGGCCAACGTCCACAAGCAGACGCTTGACAGGAATGGCACCCCGGTCACCGTCAAAATCTGCAGCCGCTGCCTGCGGTCCCTTCACAAGTCCCCCAAGGTGCGCAAGGCCTTCGCCGCTCTCAAGTAGCCAAGCCCCGCCGGACAATTCTTCGATACGCCGAAAGCTACCATGCCGCTGCGCATGGTAGCTTACAGTTTTCCTGGTCCTTTTCCTGCTCCATGGCACAGTCCATGCTGTGCGGCGGCCCCAGGCATGCGAAAGTGTGCGGCGCCCATAGAGGATTTTCCGGAAAACTCGAAGAGGCTATCTAAGAACGATCAATTAATGGTTCCATTGCGGACTTTGCAGTGAGAGCCAATGGATTCCCGCTTTCGCGGGAATGACGGTTGGGGGTCACAGCAAGGCTTGAGATATCTTCTGAGAAGCTGGCGAAGCACAGCACAGCACCAGCACCAACACCAGCCAATTTTTTTTGCTGGGCCGCTAAAGCAGACCTGCCAGGCAGCCCCTCATTCCCTGCATCGCCTGGGGGACTGTCTCCTGGCTGTTGAAGATGGCGCTGCCCGCCACGAGGATGGTGGCGCCCGCCTTCACGGAATCCTTGGCGGTCCAGTCCGCCTTGACCCCGCCGTCAACCTCAACCTGTGCCGCCAGTCCTGCATCGTCTATGATGCCCCTCAAACGCCTGATCTTCCCGATGCTCTCCGGGATGAAAGACTGGCCGGCGAATCCCGGGTTCACCGACATCACCATGACCATGTCGAGAATCGGCAGCAACTCCTCAACGGCAGCCACCGGCGTGGCGGGGTTGATGGCAACGCCGGCCTGGTTTCCCTGCTCCTTGATTCGAGTCACCGTCCTGTGGAGGTGCTGGCACGCCTCAGCGTGAACCAGGATCTGGTCGGTGTCCGCCTTTATGAATGTATGCAAAAGATTATCGGGCTCTCGAATCATGAGGTGGATGTTCAGCGGCAGGTGGGTGGCCGACCGGATCGCGTCCACCACAACCTCGCCGAAGGAGATGTTGGGGACGAACAGTCCGTCCATCACGTCCACGTGGATCAGGTCGGCGCCGGCCTCGGTGGCCGCCTGCACCTGCTCGGCCAGCCGTCCAAAGTCCGCCGACAGTACGGACGGAGCGATCAGAACTCCGGTCTCACTTTTCTCAGGCGCCATTCCCGGTTTCCTCCAGTATTTGTTCAGCAAGGTCCAGGGCCTGTGCCACCCGGCTGGGGGCGGTACCTCCAGGGTTGTCCCGCGCGGCAGCCGACGCCGCTGCAGTGATGTCGTAGACATCTGCAGCAAAATGCGTAGAGAACTCCCGGTATTCTGCCAATGGCAAATGCAGCAGGTGGATTTCCCGCTCGTCGCAGTGCCGGCACAGGGCCCGCATGATGCCGTGGGCCTCCCGGAACGGCACTCCCTTGCCCACCAAGTAGTCGGCGAGGTCAGTCGCGAGCATCCCGCTTTCCCCGGCGAGCGACTCCACCCGCTCAGACTGTAGCTCCATCCCCGGCAGCATGGCCGCGAACACCTGGATGGTCGTGTGCAAGGTATCGACAGTGTCGAAGAACCCTTCCTTGTCTTCCTGCAGGTCCCGGTTGTATGTGAGCGGAAGGCCCTTCAGCGTGGTCAGGAGGCCCATCAGGTCCCCATACACCCGCCCGGTCTTGCCCCGGGCCAATTCCGCGAAGTCCGGATTTCTCTTCTGCGGCATGATGCTGCTGCCCGTGGTGAACTCCTCGGCCAGCCGGACGAACCCGAATTCGCCGCTTGACCAGATGATGAGCTCCTCCGACATGCGGGAGAAGTGCATCATGCCGAGGGCGGAAGCCGCCATGAACTCCACCACGAAGTCTCGGTCGGATACGGCGTCCATGCTGTTGGCGCTGATACCGGAGAAGCCAAGCTCCTTCGCCAAGAACTCGCGGTCGGTGGGATAGGGGACGCCGGCGAGGGCGCCGCTACCCAGTGGCAGCACGTCCGCCCGGCGGCGGCAGTCGCCAAATCTCCCAATGTCACGCTGGAACATCTCGAAGTAAGCCAGCATGTGGTGGGCAAACAACACGGGCTGAGCCCGCTGCAGATGGGTGTACCCGGGCATAACCACGGGTTGGTACCGCCTCGCCAGGCCGAGCAGGGCGCGCTGGACTTGACGCAAGCCCGAGATAACCTCTTCTACGACCTCGCGCGTGTACAGGCGCATGTCCAAGGCAATCTGGTCGTTACGCGAACGGCCGGTGTGCAGGCGGCCGGCGGCTGGGCCTATGAGGTCGTGCAGGCGCCGCTCAATGTTCATGTGGAGGTCTTCAAGCGAGGGGTCCCATGGAAACTCGTCCGCCTGTATTTCGAGCTGAATGCGTCCCAATCCCTCCGCGATGGACGCCGAGTCTTCATCGCTGATGATGCCTTGGCGGGCAAGCATCCGGGCGTGAGCAATAGAACCCGCGATGTCCTGCCGGTAGAGGCGCCGGTCGTAGTGGATGGATACGGTGTAGGCGGAAAATTGGCTCATACAGCACACCACTATACCGCGGGCCAATACGGCGCTCAAGGGCTGCTGTGGTATGCTGGCGAAGAAGCACCGGCCATCCATCTCAGGCGCCCAGGCGTCGATCCGGTTTTGATTTGTTGTCGCATTGGTGTCAAGAAAGCCCACGCGGAAATCGAATAAACTCGGTCCGAAGTAGCGATCAGTGATCCGGGAGGCCACAATGGTCACCAAGAATCCCAAGCCGAAGCTGACTTATGACGACTACGCCAAGACTCCGGAAGGGGAGCGCTGGGAACTCATCGACGGAGAGTTGATCAATAAAGAGCTTGATATGGCACCTTCAGCAAGGGAAGCTCACCAGAGAAATCAGATGAGACTGGGTTCCAGGATGTTCTTCTTCACGGATGAAAGGGATTTGGGAAGAGTCTACTCCGATTTCGATGTGGTTTTGTCGGACACAGATACCGTCCGGCCAGACCTGTTGTTCGTTTCCAAGGAGCGGCTGGAGATAATCACTGAGGACAACGTACGAGGAGCGCCGGACCTTGTGGTCGAAATAAGGTCGCCGTCAACTGCTCGACAAGACTGGACGGTCAAGCGCGAACTGTACGCCCGCCATGGGGTGAAGGAATACTGGCTGCTGGACCCGGAGGCGGCCACAGTCGCGGTGCTTCTGCTGGAAGATGGAGCGTTGAAGGTGTCCGGCGTTCTTGGAGAGGGGGACTCACTTACTTCCACAACCCTGCAGGGATTCACGGTATCGTTGGCGGATATATTCGGCGAATAGCCTTCACGCGCAATCCCTCAGGAGCAGACCCTGGACAGAGGAATCAACATTGACCCAGTTGTACCAAGAGCGATGCACGGCCTGCCGTCGCGATTCGCCCAGCGTCACACCCGACGAGATTGCCGCCCTGCAACCGGAGACGCCGGACTGGGACCTGATCGACGGGAACGATGTTCCCAAGCTGGACCGCCTGTTTAAATTCAGCAACTTCGCTGGGGCGCTGGACTTCACCAACCGCGTTGGCGAGCTGGCGGAAGGGGAAGGGCACCACCCGAAGCTGACCACCGAGTGGGGGCGCGTACGGGTAACGTGGTGGACCCACAAGATCCGCAATCTGCACCGCAACGATTTCGTGATGGCAGCAAAGACCGACGCCATCTACTCCGAAATGACCTCGTAATCCCTCCCAATGGCCCCACCCACAGACGAATCCCACAGCTTCCGCTTTCCTGGTGAAAGACAATGAGAGTGACCCATCGCCTGGCGTCCCAATCCCTGGCCTCCATCCCTTCTGAGGCCGCTTGGGCCGAGTCCATCGGCTATGACGCGATTTCCAAAAACGAGACCGCGCACGACTCCTTCATCCCGCTGACTCTCGCGGCAACCTCCACGACCCGGGCGATGCTGCAGACCAGCGTGGCAATCGCCTTTCCTCGATCGCCCATGATCACGGCCTACACGGCCCGGGACCTGCAGGACCTGTCGCAGGGGCGCTTCCGGCTGGGGGTGGGAACCCAGGTGAAGGGCCATATAGAACGGCGCTTTTCCACTTCCTGGGAATCGCCGGGGCCCCGACTGCGGGAGTACGTTCAGTCCCTAAAAGCCATCTGGAAGGCGTGGGAGACGGGAGAAAGGCTGAGCTTTGAGGGCACCCACTACAATTTCAGCCTGATGACTCCTTTCTTCAGTCCAGGGCCCAGCGAATTCCCGGCGCCGCCAGTCTTCACGGCGGCGGTCAACGCATACAACTGCCAGGTCGCCGGCGAGGTTGCCGACGGGCTGATGCTGCACAGCCTGACCTCTGCAGAATACGTGCGAGACGTGGTGCGGCCGGCGCTGGCGCGGGGGGCGGAGCGCGCCGGGCGGGACGGTGGCAAGATTACGGTCAGCGGGGGAGGCTTCCTGATCACGGGGCCGAACCGCGCATCCCTGCGAGCCGCGCAGGCCGAGGTGCGCCGCCGCATCGCTTTCTACTCCTCCACGCGCACCTACCATTCGGTACTGGCGCCGCACGGCTTTGAGGAGATCGGCCAGAGGCTGCACGAAATGTCCCTGCGGGGCGAATGGGGGGAGATGGGGGAGTTGGTCAGCGACGAGATGCTGGATGCCTTTGCCGTCTCTGGCGAGTACGACGAAATTGCCGGGGCATTTGCCCAGCGCTACGGCGGACTGGTGGATGAGGCCAGCTTCACCATGTATTCAGAGCATCCTCCCGCCGAATCCGAACTACGGCGAATCATACGGGACTTCCGGGAGCTGTGATCGTTATGGCTGCCAGCGAAAGTTACCGCCACACCTGGTGGGCTCCGTACCCTGTCGGACTACGGAAGAGGTCTTTCGCACCGTCTGCGAGGCGCTGGGGACCCACCTGCGACGGACTTCCCGACGGCGAGACGGTGAACGACGCCGGTGGATCTGGTTCCAGCGCGACATGCTCTGGAGCCATCCGGATTTGGAGGAGGACCCGGACGCGGGACTCTACGCGGTCTACCAGTGGGATGGAGTGGCTGCTTCGCGAGACCCCGTACACTGCGCTTCAGGGAGTCGGCAGATCCCGCCACCGTACGCTTCCACGACGGGATACGCAGAAGCGGTCGTCGGCATCGTACGCGGTTTACTCCAGGATGCGAGACGAGGGTGTAATCCGGCCGGAAACCCGCTTCCAGGTATCCCTGCCGACACCCATGTCCACCGGGTACATGTACGTCAGCCCAGCCGCTGAGCGGCGTATCGCCAGCCTACAGAGAGCGCTCCCTGCGTGGAGGCACTGGACGGGATACTGAGCGCGATTCTCACGAGCACCTGTCCATACAATGGGATGTGTGCCAGGAAGTGCTGCTCTTCGAGGACTACTTCTCTCACCGTCCCGACGACTACAAGGAGCAGGTGTACGGCCTGCTGGGTCGCCTCGGAGGAAGGGTGCCGGATTCAGTGGAGTGCGGGTACCACCTGTGCTACGGGTCGCCGGCCGACGAGCACCTCGTGATGCCCAAGGACATGGAGATTCTGGTCGAGATGAGCAACGGGCTATCGTCGGCTCTCGACCGGAGGCTGGACTTCGTCCACATGCCGGTGCCCAAGGAACGGACCGACCGAGACTACTTCCGGCCGCTGCAGGGGCTGAATCTTCCGACAGGCACCGAACTCATCCTGGGGCTGATCCACTTCGGCGACGGCGACGGGGACGCGGCTCGAATCGCGGCGGCCGAGGGGTTTGTCCCATCGTTCGGGGTGGCCAGCGAATGCGGATGGGGCCGCACCGACCCGGCGCGGGTGCCCGGACTGCTGACCAGCCACCGACGGGCGGTGGAGCACATGAACCGGGGCAGCTAGTTCAGGAGTACAGGAACTGCCACTCGATGCTTCCGAGTCCGAACCGGATGCGGCGGAAGGCCTCGGTGTGCTCCACGCCGGTCAGTTCCTGAAACCTCGTGGCGTTGTTGCTGATGCGGGACATGCGTTCCCCGGTGGTGACCGGAGACATCTGGCTGGCGTGTGCCTCCAGGGAGAGGGTCTTGGCCTCGAGGTAGCTTCCAATCTCCACAAAGACATCGGGCGCTTCGCTGCCCCACATGTATGCCTGCTCCACCATGTGCGGCTGCAGGCCCTCCTCGGTGATCTGCTCCGGGAAGTGCTGGTAGCTCCAGGCATAGGTGAATGCCGCGTCGAGGGCCACCTGCCCGCTCATGCGGTGATCGCGATGGGTGTGGCTGGTACTGCGGTAGGGATCGATGCACATGATGACGTCAGGCTTGTAACGACGAATTTCCCGCACCACCTGGCTGCGGAAGCGCATCGTGTCCTCAAGGCCGCCGTCGGGATGACGCAGGAAGACCACGTCCTTGGCGCCGATGACCTCCGAAGCGGCCAGCTGTTCCTCCTCCCGTATAGCGGCAAGGCGCTCAGGGGTGAGGTCGCGCTCCGAGGTGCCCTTGTTGCCGTTGGTGCACATCACCACGATGGCGTGGGTGCCAAACTCCCTGACCCACCTGGCGAGCGCTCCACCGCAACCGCCTTCGCAGTCGTCAGGATGGGGAGTTACCGCCATAGCGACCCGGGGTGCCGTGGTGAGGATTTCGAAACCGGGTTCCTGTTTGTCTTCAGGAGAAGAGGGGCCGGACATGCCAAACTGAACGTTTCGGAGCACTGGTTTTTCCTGTCTGCCTTGAGATATCAGTTACCAAAGATAATGGAGCGGCCAACGTCGGTTGCCGCATAGCGGCCCGAGCGGCCGGGGATGCGTTCGAGCCACCCGAACTTGGAGCGGGCGGCATTGCGGAGCGTCTGAGTGAAACTGTTGGCCCGTCGCCAGCCAGCGACATCAAAGAGTTCGCCCAGCACGTCCACGCTGACACCGTCCCACCCAAAGAACCGGCTGGCGGCTTCAGCTGCCACCACGACCCGGCGCATGTCGCCCATCGGGTTGAGGGACTGGCAGAAGGCGCGATAGTCCTCCCGTGCCTGGGGTGGCTGGCGGCCCAGTTCAAGTGAGTCGTCGGAGATGTTCCTACTCGGCCCGCGTCCGCGCGCTTAACGATTTGGACTCTCGTCCCTTGCCATTACCATATAGCCATATCAGAGAGGCGTCTCGTACTGCTCTGCTGCGGAGTGTGATGCTACACTCTGATGTGTCGACGGCGGCCGCCCCGTTGGTGCCCTGCCGGCGAAGTCTCGCTGTTTCATGTGGGTCGTTTGGATTACACCTGCTTTCGTCGTTCGTCAACTTCTTCCCTCAGTTATCAACCCCAAATTAGATACTCGCTGCGCCATGCACTTTCGTGTACTTTTTTCCACGTCCCGGATGAGCCACAGCCCTCGTGGTTGGATAGTTAACACTCGCGGGCAGCGGCGTTCACGGTCATACCGCTCACACATCCGAGACCAGCTTTACGTCTCTACCATTCCTATTCTGGTCTCACATCCGGCTCACTTCAGACTCTCAAGTGTAATCTGTGTGGTGTTGGGCAGCGATATGGATAACTTTACCATCTCTGACCCATTGCGCCTGAAAGAGTGTGCAACACTATGTAAAGGATATATGCTAACCGGGCGCATTAGTCAAGACATAATGCACTGGGGTACCAATTTCCCACCAGGCAAAAACGCTCTTTCCAATGGAATAGAGCCAAAGAAAAGGGCGATTCGCCGCCCTGCATAAGTGTAACGGGCGGAACGGGGACCTAGATGGTCTGCTTCAGACGTATGGCCAGGGAACGGGTCATCCCGGGCACCGCGGCGATCTCGTCGAGCGCTGCTTCCTTGATACCCTTCAGAGAACCGAAACGCCTCATTAGCATCCGCTTGCGCTTCGGCCCGATTCCGCTCACGAGGTCAATCGGAGAGCCCAGGCTGCTCTTGCTGCGCAGGTTGCGGTGGTAGGTGATGGCGAAGCGGTGGGCTTCGTCACGGATGCGCTGGACGAGATAGAGGGCCTGGGAGGTGCGGGGCAGGATTATCGGCTCGGGGGTATGAGGAACGTACAGCCACTCGTTTTCCTTGGCCAGAGACGCCAGTGGGTATGGTCGCTCAAGTCCCCACTCTAGCTCACTCAAGCCGCACGCGCCGCCGAGAGCTGGCCCTTTCCTCCATCAATCAGCACCAGGTCCGGCACAGCTGCCCAACCGGTATCGGGGGCGGCTTCCGTGCTCCCGTCTGCCCCTGAGGCGTTTGTTGCGGGCGGCGTCTTAGCGCTTGAAACGCGGCGGCGCAGACCTCGTCGCAGTGCTCTTCGGAAGTCTCACTCCCCTCGACGTTCTTGTTGACCTTGAAGCGAAAGCGCCGGTACTGGGAGCGCTTGGGCTGACCGTCCTCGAAGACGACCATGCTGCCTACGGAGTTGCTGCCTTGGATGTGCGATATGTCGTAGCATTCCATGCGGCGCAGAGGCAGAGGCAGGGACAACTCCTCTTCAAGTTCCGACATGGCCTGCTGGATTACATCCTGGTTGTCCAGCCACTTTATCCGGTGCTGGGCCAGTCCCTGCCTTGCGTTGTCCGCCACGGTTTCCACGAGTTGCCTGTGCACCCCCCGCTGGGGCCACAGCAGTTGCACGGCGCCACCCCTGAGGCCGCGGAGCCACTCGGTTCACGACCTCCCGATCTTCCACCGGGTGCTGGGTGACGATTCGAGGCGGGATGGTGAGCGCAGCGCCGTAGAACTGCTTGATGAACTGGCCGATCACCTACGCCGGGGGTGTCGTCCTGCGCTCCCTCCATGAAGAAATGATCCCGACCGATGAGCTTTCCCTTCCGGATGAAGAAGACCTCGACCCACGCCTCGGCGGAGCCCTGCGCCAGTCCGATAACATCCATACCTGCCTGCCAAGAATGGTTGCTTCCGGCTGCGGGGTTGGAGTCGACCTTGATACGCCGCTCTTCGGCAACGCGCTCCACCGCCTTGATCCGGTCGCGCAGCACCGCCGCCCGCTCAAACTCCAGCTTCTCCGCGGCCAGGGTCATGTTCTCTTCCAAGTCCTGGGTCACGGCATCCGTGTCGCCCTCCATGAACATGATCACCTGGTCGATTACTCTGGCATAGTCCTCCCGGCTGGCGTCGCCGGTGCAGGGGGCCACGCACCGGTTGATGTAGTACTCCAGGCACGGGCGGGGATCGGTACCGGTTATTTTCTTGGTGCAAGAGCGGTACGGGAATAACCGTTTCACCAGGTCCATGGACTTGCGCACCGTGTTGGCGGTGGCAAATGGACCGAAATATCGCGCTCCATCCTTGGTGACCCGCCGCGTCATGTAGACGCGGGGAAATTCCTCGTTCAGGTCTATCTTCAGGTACGGATAGGTCTTGTCGTCCTTCAGCCTGGTCGTGGTTACGGGGCTGTCTTTTTATGTCGTCGTTGTGTCTTGTTGGGTAGTAGGTTTTTGTGCGTGGTAGTGTTTTGTTGTTTATTTTGTAGTTTTTGTGTGTTTCTGTTTTAGCTAAGCGCTTGATGAGGGTGTTTTCCAGGATCAGCGCCTCGGCCTCCGAGTCAGTGACGATGTACTCGAAGTCGTGGACATGCCCCATCATGCGCCGGGTCTTGTTGGGCTGACTGGACGGTGAGCCGAAGTAGGTGCGGAGACGGTTCCGAAGCACACTGGCCTTGCCGACATACAGAACAGTGCCCCGAGCGTCCTTCATGAGGTAAACACCGGGACGCTCCGGGGTGGCCTGGAGCCGTTGTTCAACCAAGGGCAGTGGCATGGTAACTCGCGCCGGTCAGATGGCTAGAGGACGACGGACAGCGCAACCAGCGCGGCAATCACAACCGTCGACAGCACGGCAATGCGCCGCAGCTCTGCGCCAACGTAGTTGTAGGCCGCCGGGCGCTCCCCGCGCGTTCGGCCCTGCGCCCGCGCTTGCGGTGCGGGTGAAGCGGCGGGAGCAGGGGCCTGGGCTGCAGCGGCCGGGGGCACAGGCTGTGCCGACTGGAGGTTTGCATCCCCAATTGCCGCTGCGCCGGCTGTCACGGTGGCTGCGGCAACGGCGAGGCCGTTGCCAGCGTTCTCGGCCGGGGCCGCAGGTACGCCGCTGGGGCCCCTCTGGTTCCTCTTTCGTCGACGGCTGAGTTCACCCTGGCGGGCCGCAGCCCTGCGAGCCTTTCCTGCCATGATCTTCCACCTCCCCAAGAGGCTGCGGACACCGGATGCTCTCGCAGATGCGGGCAATCCGGCTCTTACTATCTCATTTTCTTGATTTACTATATCAGTTATGGGCTGAAAAAGGCAGTGCGAGTTGCTTCGGGTCAGGGTCTTTTAATAGTTTCCTTCTCCCTCCGGGGGAGGGTAAGAGTGGGGCGTCTCCCAGGTGTAGCCAAAGTTATGTGCCCGCAGGATTTGACCCTCACCCCTTCGGCAAGCTCAGGACAGGCCCTTCGGCAAACTCAGGACAGACCCAACCCTCACCCTCAAGGGAGATGGAGAATTAAAAGACCCTGAGGTTGCTTCGGGTGGCGTTCCAACTCAGGTGGTCGAGGTAGATTCCGTCTTACAAGAGCGCGACCTCTGGATTCCTGCTTTCGCGGGAATGACGGATCATAAGCTGGCAAACCATCTAAATGGGAGCGCTATCGTTGCTTCGTTTGTTCTGAAAGCGTGGAGAGGCCTGCGCCATACGCCAGGCGTGGGAGGTCTCGCTCCCACCCTCATGGCCGACTTCATCCGTCCTGCTTCGAAGACTGTACAAAAGAAATTGGCCCCGCCTTACCGGCGGGGCCAATTTCTTTCGTTTAGCAGGGCGGTGCAGATCGGACCTGCTTCTCTCGTACATCTTCCGTACGTAGAGGTCAGGTGGGTGACGCACCTGCGTGGTGGATATGCTGGAGTGGCCGAGCAGCTCCTGCACATGTCGCAGCGACGCGCCGTTCTGCAGCAGGTGGGTGGCGAAACTGTGCCGCAGGGTAGGGGGCAGGGAAGAGTGGCAAAAAAACAACAAAAACACTCCCCAATAAAATACACAAAATACCACTAAAAAACAAAAACAAAAAAAAACCAAAAAACTAAAAAAACTAACCCTAAAAAACGGATACCCGGCCCGTGGGCATCGGGTCTTCAGTACCGACCAGACCCATTGGCGTGTCAGGCGCTCTCCCCTGTGATTAACGAACAGGGCCTCTTCATCCTTCCGCTTGCCCAGCATGGCCATGCGGGCGTGCCTCATGTAGTTCTGCAGCTCCTGGGCCGCCTTGGGATACAGGTGCACGATGCGCTCCTTGGAGCCCTTCCCCAAGCAGCGAACATAGGACTCTTCCAGGTTGACGTCGGAAGTATTCAGGGAGACGAGCTCGCCCACCCGCAGGCCGGTGGCGTATAGCAACTCCATCATGACGGCGTCGCGCTGCCCCTCGTTGGTGCCATGCTTGTAGCCTTCATCAAGCAGCCGGGCCACCTCATCTTCTGTCAAGTATTCCGGGAGCGAGCGGCCCACCTTGGGGGTCCCAATGGATTCTGTGGGGTCCTCGGTGATGATGCCGTTTTCGGCCAGGAAGCCGAAGAAGGACTTTACTGAGGCGACTTTCCGGGCGGCGGTGGCGTTGCGGTAGCCCTTGCGTTCCTTCAGGTCGGTGATGTAGCGGTTCAGGGTATCTATGTCGACCTGGCTCCAATCGAAGGGGTCCTGACGCCTTCCGGCATCAAAGCCGTTCTGCTGGAGGAACTCTATGAACTGGGAGAGATCATTGCGGTAGGCGGAGCTGGTGTTCTGGGAGAAGCCCTTTTCCACGATGAGATGCTGAAGAAAAGACGACACAGTACGGTCCATAGCGCGTATCCTTTCGCCGAAGCGTGAAAACAGATGAACAAGTCATCAATGGGACGATGCCTGTTCAGTACTTGAGGGCATACTAGCACAGCAGTGCATTGGCAAACTAATTAAATTATTACACACTTGACCAAAATC